TTTTTTGAAACATAGGTGTTTTTTTTTATAGATATTTTTTAAATACACAACTTTTTCCCTCTAGAAGTTCCTTCTAATAAAATTTTATATTTTCTCCAAGTGACAGGTGCTTAAGACAATTTCAGTCTCATATTCAAGTTCGAAAAGTCTTGAATCTCTTCTTCTATAAGGTTTCACTTTAATTTTTTTTTTTTAATTTTTTTTTTTAGATTGCTGAGCACTAGCTAGTGTGCATTGTTTGTTATTTAATTTTGAATTCTATTTTTCAGGATTGCATAGCACGGGCTGGTGCGCTTCATTTGGTGTTTAGTAATTGTTTGGTATTGCAAAGCACTGGATGGTGTGCATTGTTTGTTGTTTATTTTTATTGCAGAGCATTGGTTGGTGTGTATTATTTGGTATTTATTTTTAATTTTAATTTTTTAAAATTGCAGAGCACTGTCTGGTGCAGTGTTTGTTGTTTAATTTTGAATTCTTTTTTTCGAGATTGTATATCACTGACTGGAATGCTTCAGTTGGTGTTTAGTACATTTTTTATTTATTTATTGTAAAGTATTGATAGATATAAAATAACTTTGGCTGGTATTATTTGGTAACGAATGAATAATGAAAACGTAATATTTATGATTAAACAACAAATATATATATCTGTGCCTAGGGGTGGTTATCTTTAATTCAGTTCTACAGAGTGTGTGGTAGCAAAAAAATTGTTGGAAGTGTTTTAAAAATGATATTTCTTTATATTTCTCAATGTCTTAAGTTTTTGGTATGTTTTTCAATAAATTACATTTCTATTCAACTACATTTTGATCTCAATATTATTTACATCGTGCCATTAGGCACGAGCATACCTTTTATTATGTACTTTACATACCTTTTATTATGTACTTTACATACCTCTTATTCTTCATTTTTTTTCACTTCTTCTCTCAAAAGTCATTTAACACCAAGGTAAAAATCTTATCTCTCTGTTTATGTACCTACTCTTCTCATCTTGATTGTAACCCTCTCTTTGAAATTAATTTTGATATTTTATTATCCGATTTGCTACTAAAATTGTTAAAAGTTCTTCAAGAAGAATAATATTTCTTTATATTTTTCCAGTGTCTATCAAAAATAAAAAAATACTATAGACTTTACAAATTTTAACATGATGTGTATAACTTATAGTTACATTTTGATTCTAACATAATTTACACTGTGCCTTTAGATAGTTCAATTTCTCCATCTGTGATATTCATGCATAAACGAACTTTTTAAAGTGGGTTGTTAACTAAAATATGTTAGGAGGTTGTTAATTTTGTGTTGATTAATTTTTCTTTATGACAATTATTAAACCTCATTTTGCCTTACAGTTATCTTTGTCAAATTTACATAACCAAATACTTTCAGGTTGAGACACCATTGACCTTCAACCTCTAATTATGGACAACATTATTATTTTTAGTCACGTAAATTGTTTTCTTTTATATTTATTTGAAAAAAAAAATACATATTTCTTATAAGTTGAAGTTAATTTTCTTTTCTTTTCACGATTTTTTTAATCTAATTTCCTTATAACAAAATGATCTTTTCTTATAATTTACGTATGGATGGAAACCTATGCCGAACTGTAATACTGACTTCTTTTTCTCATTTTCTTAGATATATAAATTTTTAATTTTTTTTTACCTATAATTCTTTTGTATTTATAGGTTCAATTTCTTATGGAAAGACATGCTAATGTTGTCATCCATGATGAACGTGACCTTAATGTCATCTAGGATTCGAGAGGTAGGCCCAATTTAATTATATAGATTTTTTTTCTTTCAAAACACCGTATATTCTTATTTACATTATTTTTTAAACTTTCAAAACACCGTATATTTCTTTGAAATATTTGTTTTGGAGCATGAACCTCGATCATTTTTTGTTTTTTGACATATTACTTGCACAGTGCCATATACTATAAAATTGACATACTACTTGCACAATGCCATGTAAATTTGGAGCACTGATTATTGTGGTTAATTTGTTATTTGTCATTTTTTTTATTGTAGTGTTAGGTTTTATTCTTAGCAATCCCGTTTGACAAAACTCCTTTCAGTTGTATTTATTTTCGCACTTTTATTTCAGTGAGGCTATGAGTGTTTAGATGCGAATCCAACCCGAATTGTGCCTTTTCAGAGAAGTTTGTGATGCTAATGCTTTCAAGATTGCCACTTCGCTGATTATGACGGGGATCGAGCTGCCCGGTCAGCTCGCGGGGGTCTAGGGGGCAGTGCCCCTTGGCGGGCCTGGGGTAGCGCCCAGGCGGGGTCGAGGGGCAGCGTCCCCGAAGCAAAATGCAAAAATGCATTCAAAATTGCCTATCTGCTCGAGCGGACATACCCGCGCTCGAGCGGAGAATGCTGGGTTTCAGAAGTTTGTCAGGTCTGTAAAAATACTGGATGGTGTAATTTTGCGCTCGAGCGGGTTCTATAGCGCTTGAGCAGACCTCTGTTATATCACACGCATATTTTCCTGGAGCCGCTCGAGCGGGCTGTTGGGCGCTCAAGCGGAGATCGCGAACACAGTTTCTGGATTTCGATAAGGATTGGAATTTCTTCCAAATCTAGGATTACTTTTGGTTTTCTATAAGTAGTTGGTTTTCTCCCAAAACTAGACTACTCCAATAAGTCCTCCAGATCTTATTTTTGGATTCTAAGGTTTATATCTAGGGAAATTTTGTTAGTTTTCTTTGATGTTTTTATTGAGTATTCAACTTATGGTCTAAACAGAGTACATCAAAGGTTTTATTTGTTCTACAAAAGAGAGAGTTGTTCTTCGGTGGATTCTGGAGAATTCGAGCCTGAAGCTTCGGTGGATTCTGGAGTGGCTCATCGTAAAGACAATTCCGAGGTGAAGACGGGGTTGGAAGAGGCACATAGAGGTTGGTTTAATTAGGCGTGGATTCGCTAGGTTATTGAGAGTATATCGGTGTAATTCCTTTAAATCTTCTTAGTGGATTGTTTTTGTGGCTGTTGCCCGTGGTTTTTTAATCACAGTTGGAGGTGTCCAATTGTGGTTTTTCCACGTAAAATCGTTGTGTCGTTTTGTCTTAATTGTTTGATTGGGATTGTTATATTCTGCTTAAAATTGATACATAACCACAAATCAACATCTAGGGGATTTCTAGATTTTTCATGTAGAATATTGGTTGATGTGCTTAATTTGTTGTTTCGCATTCTTTTTGTATTATAGAACATTGGCTGGTGTACTTAATTTGTTATTTGGCATTTTCTTTTTATTGCAGAATATTGACTGGTGTGCTTAATTTGTTTATTTATTACAGAGCACTGGCTGACGTATTTCGTTTGATTTTTATTATATGTTTTTGTGTTATGGGATTTACATTTTGTTGTTTGTTTAAAATTTTATACTTTTGTTGTGCTTGAATTTTATGTATCATTTATGTGTTTACTTTTTACTATTTCATTTACTTATAATTTTACATTCAATTACATTTTCATTCAAATAATATTTTAACCGTGTCTTTAGGCACGGGTATGTATTAGTTTTTACATTCAATTACATTTTCATTCAAATAATATTTTAACCGTGTCTTTAGGCACGGGTATGTATTAGTTTTATATATATTTGACAATGTCGACTACGCTTTGGTGGTTTAATTTTTGCAGCCACCCCAAATTCAAATGGATTAATAAATAATAAAAAGGAAAAAAAAAACTACTATTTTAAAATTAAAAAAAATCAGACTTTTAATAAAAAACTTATAAAATGTGCAACTCGCCGTGCAAGGCACGGACCTCCATACCTAATTAATATATGTGTATATATATTTTGTCTCCATTTGAATTTTGTCAACATTGACTGCAAAAATCAAACCACCAATATATTTACGGCTAATGGTTCAGCCGTCGAGAGCCTCAAGAGCGAATGGCGTGAATTTATGATCATCGATTGACTGGTCAAACAATTATTCGGACGATCGGGTGAAGTATTTATTTATCGTGATTATCACCTTGTTGATCGTGATTATCAGCCTCTTTGTCGAACAATCGACCGAATTACCGATTAAACAAATTCGAGACAAATTTACGTTTCAATATTTGAGACATGTAACGCGACTCTATATATATATATATATATATGTATATATATTGTCAACATTGGTGACTGCAAGAATCAAACCACCAACTTTGCCTCCATTTCATTTTTTGCATTTTAAGTGAATTTTTTACATTACACGTGAAGTTAATGGGTTGATGATGCGGCAAATTCTGTTAGTTTTTTGAATGGAAGTTAGTTTAAAAGTAAAGTGAAATGTATTATAAACATAAAATGGTCAAAGTGAGAAAAATCAAATTTAAAAGCCCAAAGTGAGAAAAATTGTAAATATAAAAGGTCAAAGTGAAAAAAATCAAACTTAAATAACCAAAGAAAAAAAAAGATAAAACTTTAGAGGGTCAAAGCATAATTTAGGGGTTGTTTGGGATGTCCTAAATAAGTGCACTTTTTGTCTTTTTAGACTAAAAAGTTGAGGAAAAAAATATGATTATTTGGGTTAACTTTTTGACTTTTTATGAAAAAATGTATATTAAAAAATTATATAAATTAGGCCTTGTTTGGCATAGACTATATAATCCATCTTTTTATCTTTTTATCTTTTTTCCATCACATCACCTCTCTACTTTTCTGCACATCTTTTCGTAAAAAAGACAAAAAGTGCACTTTTTTAGGACACCCCAAACCAACCCTTAGTGTGTAGGAAAAAATTAAGATCGAGAGTTATGCGGCTGTAATTTTTGACTTTTGATAAATAATAATAACTTTTTAACTTTTTGAATAACTTTTTAATTTTTTGATAACTTCCCAAACTTGACCTTACCCTTCAAAATTTGTCAATGTATGTCATTTTATATGTAGGATGACTTCCCAAAAGCAAAATAGTCCACTCAAAAAAATAAAATAAAATTATAATGCCAGAGCTATTTTGCAAACAACCGTGATATTGTGAATCCGACCTCACTACTGATCTCAAGCCTCAACTCAGAAAACAAACGGGGACTTTGTTGATAAGTTTTTATTGGTCTTCTCTCATCTGCTTCTTCTGGATGGATCTGAATGTCATCCCAAACTCTTCAAATTTTGTTAGCTAATAAGGTAATAAATATTATTTTCTTTTCTTTTTACTGTAGATGTTATTCTTATCATTCGCTTTTTAGATTTTGATCACTCTATTTACTGATGAGAGTTTGGAGTTTAGATCTATACTTCAGCCACTAATTTTTAAAAACACAATCAATCTTCATATTTGTTCTTCTTAAAACAAGATTGTTTTGGTACATGGTTAATGAATGATCTGTCTGTTTCTTCTTCCTCTGTTATTGTTCTTGTTGTGTGTAATTATTTTCCCGCCTTTTATTTCTTGATCTTGGAGTGAATAACAGTAATTGGGAGCAACGGAAAGTGTGACTGAAGTTTGGTTTTTCAGAAATTATTTTGCGGTTTCTTGTTTTTTTTTTTTTTAATAAACTTTTGGAGAAAAAAAAAAAAGTTCACTTTAATCTTTTAATTTGTTTTTAATTTAAATTATTTTCTATTTTCATTAAATAAATTTGATGGAGAAAAATATGTTTTAGGCATTAAATTTAATGTAGGTGTACAGAAAATGTCTAAATTATATATTTTCAATGAGTTTAATGATTAAAAAATATATATATTTTTTGATAATTTATTTAAGAAAAATAGATAAATAATTTAGATTAAAAACAAATTAAAAGATTAGAATTTAAATCAACAAAATTAAAAATACAAGATTTATTTCGTTCCACTATTCAAATCTTGGAAATTGTTTTTTTTTGTTTGTAACTTCTCTTATTTTTTAATATTTTATTTAAGAGTTCATCTAATTCACAACCTTCAAGGGGATTAGACCATCTCCAACGGTTCATCAAACCCAGTATCAAATTTAAAATTTGGTGAAAATGTTACTGTTTGATGCTCCAACGGTTGCACCAAATCGATATCAAAATGAGATTTCACCAAACATTCCATCAAACTACGGTTGCACCAAATCGATATCAAAATGAGATTTCACCAAACATTCCATCAAACTGAGAACAGGCGAAGCATTTCACCAAATCACTGTTACTGACCGTTGGGGTGATACCAACCGGTCGACCACCCAGTTGACCGGCCGGTTGACCAACCGGTCAACTAGTAAAAGATTCAAACAGTTCAAAAACAGTTCATAAAAAAAAAAATTCCCTAACCGGTCAACCGGCCAATCGACCACCCGGTCGTCCCGAAAAAAGTTCAGAAAGTTCAACAAAAACGGTTCAGACAATTAAAAAAAAAAAATTTCTTCTCACCGGTCGACCGGCCGGTTGACCACCCGGTTGTCCCGGGACAGATTTGGTGAAAAGTGAACCGTTGGAGCATCTGTTATCAGATTTGGTGAAATGAGTCATTTTTTACTCAGATTTGATGAAAAATCTGATTCACCGTTGGAGATGCTCTTACAAAACAAATACACTCATGGAAATTACTTAAAATATGAATTATTTATATAATTTGGAAAATTATAATTATTTATTTGGTAAAAAATTTTATTAATAGAATAAATAGAAGAAAAAAAAATTGATGATAAACCGAAAAAGAAATTATGATTATTTAAATGATCATGGACAACTAGGGGTGGACCTGTGTCCGATGGCCCACTTGAGCTCATCTTGATTTGTAGATTTTTTTTTTTTTTTTTAACTTAGGTCTCGTTTAGAAATATGTTATTTTAGTAATTTTTTAACTCTTTATAAAAAAATGTGTAAAAAATAAAGAGAATAATATGACAACTTATAATGACTTTTTAATTTTTTGACTGAAATTGAAGGTTGCCAAACGAGGCCTTAGACAACGGGATCCATAAATTACTTAGGCCAAGTTTGGCAAGTCCATAAAAAGCCAAAAAGTTACTCAAAAAGTTAAAAAATTAACACTATTTACCAAAAGCCAACAATTACGGATGTACAACTCCCAATCTTAATTTTTCCTTACACACTAATTTATACAATTTTTTAATACACATTTTTTCATAAAAAGTCAAAAAGTTAACCCAAACATCCATATTTTTTTCTCAATTTTTTAGTCCAAAAAGACACAAAGTGCACTTATTTAGCACACCCCAAACATCCCCTTACACTAGGCAATTGTTGATTTTGGCAGATAAGATAGTGTTGGATTGGATAAATTTTTGGGAAGAGTAGCCCTTGTTAACCCTTCCCCAACTTTTAATTCATTTTACGTCACATCACCTCTCACATTTTTTACACATTTAAAAAAAAAAAAAAGCCAAAAAATCAATTTTTAACCATCTTTCTAATAAAGTTTTATAGATATTTATAGTTGTATCTATATTTTATATTGTTTAACTTTTATCATCTATAAGTATAAAATATTAAGAAAATTAGTAAAGCATTCTCCTCCAACTTTTGATAGTAGAAGAGGTCTAATATACACAGACACAAACACACATACACACACACATATATATATATATATATTTATTAGTTAAGATTTCTCAATAATATTATTAGAGAAATTTTAGCTCGTCGCAAATTTCTTTGTGATGAATTTCTTTGATGAGTTGAAATTTCTCTGTTAAATTTCTTTTTGAAGAGCTAAAATTTCTTTGTAAAAAATGTTGAGACTATAACTATTATGAAAATATTGTGCACATTTTATTTTATAAAATCTTAATATCAAGAACCTTAAATTAAAAATCTCTAATTTTTTTTTTCTTGATTATTTATTTATTTATTTTGTTAAATTCACTTTTCTTGAACTTAAAGCAGAGTTCCAAAAAAGGGTTAGTAGAGCTGCAAGTTTTTAACAGTTGAACTACTCTCACATTTGCAGGTAAATTTTAATGTTAAAAATCCTCATTCATTAAAGTTGAATTGGTCCCATTGAGCATCAGAACTCATCTTATGCGGTTGTAACAATTTACTACAACTGAGCTGAGGATCTTCTACTCCTCTCATTATCTTCTCTGCAAAAGATCACCTACAGGCTACAGGTCAAATACATTACCACATTCTCTCAAATTAATTGTTTGCTTTCTAGATCTAACATTACAAACAATAAAATTAAATTAAAGCTCTAAAATTATATAAAATAGTAAAAAATGAATTACCAAAAAAATATCATCCACCCTTCTCAAATCACAAAAATTACCTTTCTATATTATGTTATTTGTAGATTTACTGACTGATTAATTTCAGTTTTGAGGTGAATTAAAAATTGAATCAGTCTTTGCGGTTTTAAAAATTTAGAAACCAAACTAAATCTAACCAAGTGAGAACTAGGAAATTTGGCAAGTAGAGCTTCTTTTCTTTTCTGTGAGTAGCAGGGCTCAAAACAAAAATGAACTTAGCAAAACCCTCATGAACTTTATTTTCCTATTATCAACGTTGTGCGCTTTTGTTTTCAGCAATTGACAAAAAAGAGACCAAAATGATTGGTTTGGGCGAAATCACTAAAATGTTATGTTCAGACGGTGTCCTAAAAGCCTGCAAAACTGGCAGGTCTCACGTTGGCTATGTGATTCACTACAAGAAGAACATTCAAAAACTTGAAGATGAAATTATAGGGCTTGAAGATGAATGGAGAAGGATCGATGGAAGTGCCCACAGAGCCAGAGACGATGGAGGAGTTGTTGAGAATGATGTTAGGCAGTGGCTATTGTCTGCCTATGGAATGAAAGCAGAAGTCGAGGTGTTCCTACTAGACATGGTAAGGGAAAACAAGTGGTGCTTCAAATGCTCATGTCCAAATATATATTGGCGTTACTGGCTAGGCAAGGAGTCCGAAAAGAAGACTGCTCGTGTTGTTAGACTAAAAGAGGAGGGCACCAAGTTTATGACATGCCCAATGTCACACCGCGCACCTCTCACAGACTCTGGATTCACATTCTCTGCAAAATATGAAGCATTTGATTCAAGGAAACGCATCTTTGAAGAGATCATGAAAACATTGGAAGATCCAAGCATTAAAATGATTGGCATTTACGGACCAGGTGGTGTTGGCAAGACAACAATGGTGGAAGAGGTTCTCCAACTAGCAAAGAGAAATAGGCTTTTTGATTCTGTTGCCATGACAACTGTGTCCAAAGTTGTGGAAAAGGAAAAAGTTCAAGGTGAACTCGCAAGTCAACTAGGACTAAAGCTAGATGAGTTTGGAAGAGCAGGTAAACTAATGAATAGATTGAGCAATGGGCGAAAAAACCTTGTAATTTTGGACGACGTTTGGGAGCCACTTGATTTGGCACAGATTGGAATTCCTACTACAGATGGTGGCAACAATGAGACACTTATTAACTTGCCAGAAATTGGAATTCCTTTTACATATGGTAGTAACATGGTCTGCAAAGTTGTGATAACATCACGGAAACAACGTGTGTGCCAAATGATGCAAAAGTCTAATGAACTGAAAGTTTTCCCGATCGAAGTGTTAACAGACACAGAAGCATGGAGCCTATTTACGAAGATGGCTGAAATTTCAGTTAACTCTGGAATACCCCCTGCAGCAGAAGACGTGTGTAATGAATGTGGACGCTTGCCAGTTGCTATATGTGCAGTTGCAGCAGCATTAAAAGGTAAGAACAACTATGCATGGATAGATGCACACACACAGCTGAAAAATTCAAAGCTGAGGGCTATAGTGGATGTTGATCCAAAATTGTTCTCCTCCTTAAAGTTGAGCTATGATTTTTTAGAACCCAAGGATGCACGGTCATGCTTCATGCTTTGCTCTCTGTTTTACGAAGATGCTGAGATTTCCATTGAGGACTTGGTGAGATACAGCATCGGGATGAGGTTGCTTGATCAAATACACCTAAATACAGTTGAAGACATTAGAGCCAGAGTACTTACATTGGTTGATGGGCTCAAATCATCTTGTTTGTTGTTAGATGGCAGAAGCCAAAATAGGGTCAAAATGCATGATGTTATTCGAGATGTTGCTATATCAATCGCGGAAGATGAGAAAGGATATCTAGTGAATCATGATATCAAAAAGTGGCCAGAGAAGGGCACATATGAACATTACTCGGCAATGTCATTAAGGTTCACCACAAATATCTGCGAGCTTCCCAATGAGTTGGAATGTAGAGGACTCCATACCTTGGTGTTGAAGAGCAACCATGACTGCTCACGAACAGATGTTCCAAACAATTTTTTCAATGGAATGGAAAACAATCTTGAAGTCCTGGATCTGACTGAAATTCCTCTAGAGAGCCTCCCATCATCACTTCCAACATTAGTTAAGCTTCGGATGTTATGCTTAAATGGCCGACTGAAGATAGACATAGGGTTAGCTCTATTGGGGAGATTAAGGAACCTTGAGATACTTAGCCTTCAAAATATGAAAAAGGTTCTACTTCATGACGAAGATGGAACAGGGTTTTCTGAATTAAAGTTTCTTAAAGTTAAAGAATGTAATGATGTTGAACATCTTCTTGGCACACCAGAAATGTTTCTAAAAGCTCAGCCACAAAGTCCACCACGGCCTTTTTGTAACTTGTGCAAATTAGTTGTTAAAAGATGTAGATTTACATTTCTATTCTCCGTCTCCGTTGCAAGAGGCCTTGTGCAACTCCAATATCTAAAAATCACAAACTGTGGGAATATGGAAGAAGTTATTAGAAATGAAAGACAAGGAGATGAAGAGGAAATTATTTTTCATCATTTAAAAAAAATGTATTTATGGAATTTACCTAACCTCAGAAGCTTCTGTTCAAGCATGAAGAACACTTCAACAATAGAGGCAAACAATTCTAACCCTTCACAACCTCTCTTTTGTGAAAAGGTTTGCTTTTTAGTAACTTTTCTGTTGATTTGGCAATGTTTGGTAATTGAAAGAACATAAGTTTGATCTATTAATATTTGCAGGTGGCATTCCCTGCATTGGAGTACTTGGCTATTTGGGATTTAGATAAAATATCAGGGATAGCAGGGGACAAACAATTAAAACACCCAATCAAAGAAGAGGAAGAATCCTTTTGGAAACTAAGGAACCTACCATGTCTCCAACAACTATATATATGGGGTGGTGACAGCTTGAAAGCAATAGTAGTAGCTAATAAGGAAGGAGGTGCCTACGATAAGCCTCTCGTTTTCCCTAAACTGTGTACTCTACAATTACGTGAGCTGTTGAATCTGAAAAGTTTCTATGGCAATTGTGGACCTAAAGAAGAAGAGGAAGAAGAATATCTCCAACCACAAACCCTCTTTAATGAAAAGGTACGACTACAGTAAGTTTTATGAGTTTGTAGAGCTACAAATTTTTTAATCAGTCAAGTCATAATCTCATAAAATACTCAAGGTGTTAATACTACCTCATGCGATTAAAATTTCAATAGCTACATATCTATAACTTTAGCCTATAAATTTACTCAAGAACTTAAATGAATGGTCTAAATCCATTTTATATATGAATCCACAACACATAAGTTGAATTTGAACCATCTATCTTCATTTTGGATAAATTTCTAGTTTATTTTTTTTTTTAGTTGAAAGATTTATTGTTAAATTTTTTTTACCCATATTACTTTTTGTCGCAAGGCAGTATACCAATTTGTGTGGTGCTAGTTATTATTAAATTTTTTGGTTATGTTTATTGAATTTGTTGGTTATGTTTATTGAATTTTTGGTTATTTTAAAAAAATTAAAAAATTATGATATATTTTTTTTTTTTTGGATGAGCAATGTTATGCATTTTTGTGATTTTGTTATGACTACTTGTGATAAAATTATGAAATATAGTATGGAGTGTGTATGAAAATTTCCCTTTATTCATTCCCAACCAAAATAAGATTGATAGCACCCAAAAGATCTTAAAACGTAATTAAAGTTGATTCTGGTACGGAAACCTCAAACATAAAATTAACTACCTCAAGAGATAATAGTATTTCTTGACCCTCTATTTCCTAATCCCAAAACTTACACATTAATTCTTACATTATGTTTGGTTCTAAGATTTGTTTAGGGAAGTTTTTTTTTTTTTTTTTTAAAAAAAAGGAAAAAATGAATGAATAACTAAGCTAGATGAACTGAATATTTTTATTTTTACTAGCTAAACTAAGAAAATGAAAGAAAATAAATCGCCCTGTTTGGTTAGAAGTTTTCAAAAATAGTTTTCTATGTTTTAAATTAGTACTCATGTATATTTAATGATTTTTAAAAATATTTTAATCATTTTTTTAAAGGTTTTAGATTGGGTAAATTATTTATAAGTTCTATTTGGAAGACCTATACAAGATATGGTCCTATGAAAAAACTTATAACCCAACAGGTCCTGTGATTTTCTTGTGGACATATCTATCCCCAATCTTAATTAATTAATAACCTGATTACTAATAATACCATATATAGAAAATCCAATATTACTATAGATTGTGATCATATCTATATGTTTAGAAATTTGAAATTCAAAATAACCTAATTAATGACAATACCATATATGAGAAATCCAATATTACCAGTGATTGTGATCATACCTATGTGGTTGGAAATTTGAAATTTAAAACGTAAATGCAACATGTAATGTCTCAAACCTAATGTGACATCCCCAAACCCAACGTGACATTTCCATATGCTTCTGAAATTTAAAACAACTTGATTAATAGCAATACCATGTATGGAAAATCTAATATTACCATAGATTTTGATCATATCTATATGGTTGGAAATTTGAAATTCAAAACATAAATGTAACATGTAACATTCCAAACCCATTGTGACATTCCCAAACCCAACGTGACATTCTCATATGTTCCTCATCCCATACCCAACATAAATGTAACATGTAACATCCAAAATCCACCGTCATTCCCATATGCTTCTCATCTCAAACCCAACGTGACATTCCAATACTTCACCGTTGAATTATGAATAATGTAACCTCTTAAGTGTAACATGTAACATCCTAACCCAACCTATGTATTGAGCCACCATCACCCCCAACCCAGCGTAACTTCAACATCGAGTGATGAGATTCAATCCACATTCAATTACAAACCCAAATCCCCAATAATTTTGCGCAACGTAGTGTGACATGTATGTAAATACTGATTACAACAAAGACACGACATACATTCAAATACACATACAACCGAACAAACAAACAAATATCATATATTACATAGTGTATGTGGATTAACATTACACACTAAATGTAATATGCATCGTAGCACGATCATTTAGGTCCCAATGTACAATTGCCATCCTACGACGTGGTTCACATTCGACATTTAATTAACAACGAAAACCAAATAGCCCCAACCTAACCCTTGAACCCATACACACCCCCTACACATTGAACATATCAAAACGCATCAACCATCACAATGTCAAATACACGAATTCAATCAGAACATTGGCCAAAGTGTGCCTATCAATGAGTGTAATAGATTGTCAATGCCATGTCAATGCTATATTAAAGATGAACAATCCACACTTCAATAAATAACAACACACTTTAATAAAATTAAAAAAAAAAAAAAAAAAAACATACCTCTTCCCGATTGGAGTCGAAATTTATCGAAGTTATCAACACACAACCCTCAAACTTCATCATATCATAGACAATATCCATATCCATTTAAGCAACATTTTGAAAATGTACTAGAATCCTGTAATCAAGGCCAAAAAAACTCGCACGGTCATTGCCTATAGACTTGTTTTTCCTAAAAACCTTTCCAAACGTGATATGATGAATGACAAAATAAAGTACAATATGAAAACAAATTAGAGATATAATAGTACACTAATATCATTCATTTACAATTCATAGGACCTTATGGAACACATTCCTATTTAAATAGGACTTTAACACTAAAAGAATATTTATAGGATTTCACATTAAATAAGTCTTTCAAATAAGACTTATAAATAATTTTCACTTTTAGATTCACTAAATCTTAATATGCTTAAAGTATAAAATTTATACAAAAATCTTAAAAAAAAAAAAAAAAAATCATTGAATACAACAAAATACAAAAATATATTGAATTTTTATATTTTTTTTGTATTTAGTAAATTTTTTAAAGATTTTTTCACAAATATTATATATATATATATATTAAATATATCTATATTAGGTGTATCTTAAAAATAAAAAATGTATGTAAAATATTTTAAAAAATCAATAAAAATAAAGAAAATTACAACACCAAAAAAAAAAAAAAAAACTCAATTATCTGAGAAGTAAGTTAAAACCAAACAAGGTCATTATTTTTCTTTTCTTTTCTTTCTTTTTTAATGCAGAAAAAATAACAAGTACAAATAATTTTATTTTCATGTTTCTACTTTTCAGCAGTAAATCTAGATCTACATATAGCATAATTGTTTAAGCTTTTAAAAATAATGCCCTAAAGCATTTGGTATTAGAAAGATAAAATTTATCTATTTGTTAATAGAATTATGAACTATGTTTAAGCATCAATTTGGCATATCAAATATATAGATATTGAAATAGTTATAAAATTATTTTTTTTCATTTGATGAAGTTGTTCTATGGGTAGATTAGACCACTAAAATTTTACTTTCGTCCTCCAAATTTTAATTTAAATAATTTGATCCTTATATTTTTAATTTTATTGCAATGTGGTCCTTCTATCATATGTTAAAATATGTTGAACTGAAAAAAATAAAAAAAAATCACATTGAATTCAAAACAAATTATGGGGACACCGATACAATGAATATATTACACCAGTGATCTTTGTAGTTTGTTTTGAATTCCACTTTAATCTCTTTAGATTTTTTTTTTTTTTTTGGTTCCAAAGTGTAACGGAAATCATAATAGCAAGTGATAGAAGGGTCATATTGTAACAAAATTGAAATTATATAGACTAAAGCAATTATAGGGATTAAATTGTTTAAATTAAAATTATTAGTTGGTTTATTGATTTCGTACCATTAGATTCGCTGAATATCAAATTGGGGAAAATTTCAGTGGTGTAGTGAGAAAAAAGTTGCATTTTTATCATGGTGCAACTGTCTTATGGGCATGGTGCAAATTCAGTCTTGTGCTTCATACAACTAAATTTGTGTCAGAGTTGTATAAAAAAAAAAAAAAATTGTAATGCAATTTTGTTTTCACTGCTCTATGCATTTGCAGTTCCCCTATTGAATTGGAAGTCGTGTGAGTGTAATATTTAATTAAAAAAATCAGCAATGATAGAGGGCCCGAATTTCCTTGGCTCGAATGGCTCGAATTGACCAAAACGACGTTGTTTTGGACACAAAACAACACAAAACGACATCGTTTTGGCCAATTCGAGCCATTTGAGCCGCGAATATTGTGGCCACCAATCATTTTTTTAAAAAAATGATATACAAATTCACTTTTTAGACTTAATAATGTGTAAGTGAAATAATTGATTAATTGATAATGATTAGAAAATATGAGAGAGAGAGAGAGAGAGAGAGAGAGAGCCCATGAAAGTGATTTGATTGGTTGATAATTAGATTTAAAAAATGAGTCTAACTTTTGAGGTAAGATAACACTACTCCTTAATTTTTTAGTATGCGGGTGTATATATCCATTAATCTTATTTTAAAAGTAAATGCAAGGAACTGCATAAAATTTACGATTTTTATGTGAAAAATTCAAATAACAAAAATTATTAGACTAATATCTAGCCAAACTATCTACCTTTTGTAAGAGTAAAATACAGAGTTTGAACTTATAACTAAATAACTATGGGGTAACTAATTATGCCTAATTAACCAGGCGAGTTCAATTGATCGTTTCTTTACTTTTCCTCTGCTATCTGTGAGGTTATGGGAATCAATTTTACCAAAGACATCTCTCTGTGGTTGTATTGTGTTATTTATTGGTTCTATTATGGGTTTTTTTTATTGTGGTATTTGTTTAGCTTGAGTTGTTTTTTGCTTTTTATTATGGGTTATTTCTTGTAGAGATTGTTGAGCTATTGGATTATAATTATCCAAATTAATGTCATTATTTTTATATTTATAATTAATAGTTGATCAATTGACAAAATATAAAACAAAATAAAAAAAAATTAACGAAGCCACTATTACAGACTCAAAATTTTCAAAAAAAAAAAAAAAAAAAAAAAATTGTCTGACACAAAATTAACTAAGGGTAAGAGCATCCTCAGCAGCTCTCTTATAATAGCTTTTTACTATTATAAGAGATTAATTCTTCAAAAATCCTTCCCCAGCTGATCCCTTGTCCAACCCCCCACATATAAGTGTTGCTAGCTCCCTTATAACTCATAAATTCTTATTTTATTTCGTTGAATGCACATAGGGGATGTCCTTCCTGATGTCCCCCCTGAATGTCCATCCGGATGTCCCGTGAATGCCCTGTAAGGAAAATGCTCAAAATTGGCTTGACCGGTCGACCACCTAGTAGACCGCCATTCTTTGTTTTTCTCTACTGCTTGCTGGTGTTTGGTTGGCATCTGTTTTTATTATTTTATTATTAAAAAAAATAAATTTAAAAGTAATTAAAAAGATTATTTTAATAGAACGGAGAAAAAATAAAGAGTTTGTTGAGAGACGTAGATAAAAAAGTGATTTCTAAAATAGGGAATGAATTTTTTAATAATATTTTAGGATAAAATTTAGGTAGGCTAATAAGGATGCTCTAACTAAGTCATTTTTTTCTCTTAATGTTATTTACACATTTTTTTGTTACTCCCCTGGTCCTAAATTGTTTGTTTATTTTCATTATTTCAAACATCTTAAAAAATCATTTAGATATGTATATTTCAATGATTTTGAAAACTTTATCTACATGAATTAATTGATATACGTTAATTTGTGAAAATATTGAATTTATAAAAATACATTATTTACTTGATTAAATGACACAAATGTAAAAAATAAACTAACAATTTGAAATAGATAGAGTATATCTTAGATTTTAATGCATAACCTGATGTGTTTCCATACTTTGTAATTTTCTACTTTATATTGACCAATCCTTTCCCATCCCAAAATATAATGAGGCTGTTTAAATGGGCATTTGGAGACTTTTTTAAAAAAAAAAAAAAACTAATTTTTAGTTAAAAAAATTTGAAAAATTATTTATTATTAGTTAAAAAAATCAAATATCACGTCAATTTTTTTATTTATTAATAAAACAACTTTTTTAACAAAACCCAAAAAATAATTTTAAAAAGTCAACTCCAAACTCAACCTATATATAAGTTGAGGAATTTTCAAAAATAAAATTTATTAAATAATTGTCTGCCAAATTTATGCAAATTGGGTTGGTGAACATTTGAAGTGATTGTTAGGTTTTATTCTTGGCAATCCCGTTTGACAAAACTCCTTTGAGTTGTAATTTTATTCGCATTTTTATTTCAGTGAGACTTTGATTCTAAAATAGGGAATGAATTTTTTAATAATATTTTAGGATAAAATTTAGGTAGGCTAATAAGGATGCTCTAACTAAGTCATTTTTTTCTCTTAATGTTATTTACACATTTTTTTGTTACTCCCCTTGTCCTAAATTGTTTGTTTATTTTCATTATTTCAAACATCTTAAAAAATCATTTAGATATGTATATTTCAATGATTTTGAAAACTTTATCTACATGAATTAATTGATATACGTTAATTTGTGAAAATATTGAATTTATAAAAATACATTATTTACTTGATTAAATGACACAAATGTAAAAAATAAACTAACAATTTGAAATAGATAGAGTATATCTTAGATTTTAATGCATAACTGTGTTTCCATACTTTGTAATTTTCTACTTTATATTGACCAATCCTTTCCTATCCCAAAATATAATGAGGCTGTTTAAATGGGCATTTGGAGACTTTTTTTTTTTAAAAAAAAAAAAAAACTAATTTTTAGTTAAAAAAATTTGAAAAATTATTTATTATTAGTTAAAAAAATCAAATATCACGTCAATTTTTTTATTTATTAATAAAACAACTTTTTTAACAAAACCCAAAATTTTTTTTTAAAAAGTCAACTCCAAACTCAACCTATATATAAGTTGAGGAATTTTCAAAAATAAAATTTATTAAATAATTGTCTGCCAAATTTATGCAAATTGGGTTGGTGAACATTTGAAGTGATGATTACAAATTGGATAGGAATATAGATCGTCCGTCTCACATGTCTGACTAGAAAAATTAAAATGTACTGCTTTATGTGTAAATTTCTATTGAAAGAAGCAAGTTATTTTTTTTTTTTATTTTTTTGTTTATTTTTTATTTTTTTTAAAGTCAAACTATTAAATTTTGCAGGTGGCATTTCCTGTCTTGAAGAACTTGGTAATTTGGCGTGCACATAACATATCAGGGATAATAGGAGACCAACAATTTAAACTTCCAGCCCAAGAAAAGGAGAGAGAATCTTTTTGGCAACTAAAGAACCTACCCCTTATCCGGCATCTAGATATACAAAGTTGTCAAGAATTAAAAGTAATAGTAGTAGCTAATAAGGAAGGAGGAGCCAACGATAAGCCCCTCATTTTTTCTGAATTGTGTTCTCTACGACTCTATTATTTGAGGAATCTAAAGAGTTTCTATGGCAATTGCGGACCCGAAGAAGAAGACGATGAAGAAGGAATTCTCAAACCTCTATCTCTCTTTAACGAAAAGGTACGACTGTCATAAGTTTTTTGTTTTTAGAGTTATTAGTTTAAACTCTTAAACCATAATCTCACGTGATTAAAAATTTAATAGTGCTAAATACCTATAATATTTACCCATGAATCATCAAGATGCATTTTATATATAAATCTACATTAGTTGAATTTGAGCCATCCATCTTCATTTTGGGTAAATTTCTAGTTCAATTTTTGCAAGTTCAAAGCTTTATTGTTGAAAAATTCTACACATATTACCTTATTAGTGGGTCCAATTACTATACACTCTTATCGTGTGAAAGTTTAGTAATTTTTTGTGGTGTTAGTTACTACCTTTTACGGATTAACTTCTTCGTAGCAGAACCGTTGAGTTTACAGAGAGCCAATTGAAAATAGACACAATAACCAATTTGAGTTCCACCAAATAAATCAGCCACCCTCATACACTCTCCGTCATCTGATAACCACTCTCCCGTTCTTCCCTCTCTCGTTCTTAGAGCATCTTTAATTATTCACTTTTTCTTTCGTTAAATTTAAATTTGATGAAGAAATATTAAAAAATTATCTTCAATCCTTTCATCAAATCAAGAGAGAAATTTTTTTCATCAAATTGATAACTTAATTCAACAAATTTAAAATTTAAAAAGATGAAACATTGGAGATGATGTGAAATTTGGTATGAGAAGGTAGTTTTTTAAAAGATTTTGATGAAAATTTAATAAAAGAATTAGAATAATTCATATCAAATCAAATTGTTTACTCAAATTTAAAATCAAATTAGATGAAAAATTTAATGAATAATTGATGATGGTCTTACGGTCTCTCTACTTTCCCTTCCCTCTTCCCATGCACCATCACCGACCACCGCTACCTCCCTCTTCCCCAACCCTCATAGCCAACAATCAGCCCCAGCCCATGCAGCCAATCACCGCCTCTCGCACTGCCCACTTATTTTCTTCTTCCTGAGAGTCTCCTAACAAGAATCCCACCGCCGTGCAGCCTCTATGGGTAATCCTATACTGCCTCGTCATCATTTCTAGTTTGATTTGTTCATTTTGGGCTCCATTCGACTCGAAAAAATTTCTTACCATTAGTTTGCAACTCATGGTGCAAAATTGCGGGGAACTTCATTACCTCATTGACAGGTCTTTTTGCAAGCAACATAGTGTGATTGGGTTTCTATATAGCTCTCAACCATCTCAATTGTGGCCATTGTTGATTAGGCTGTGGCAACAATGACCACAATTGTTGTAGAAATTTCAGTGGTTGGAGGTTGTAGAGGAGAATGGTGTTACTGTGGATGGGAGATGCCAGATGGAAAGGAAGAGAGGGGGAAATTGAGACCCAAAAAACGTATAAGCTCTCCTCCATACTTTATCTCTTCATATCCATCCATATTCCTCTTGTGGGTCTCAACTCAGACTCACTTTGATAATTCAAAATGTCTACTTCATAGGTTTCACAATAAAAGTTATTCATATACAAAATTAGATTTATCGGATAACTATAAACATAGAAACAAATCACGTTTTGTTTTACAAAATGAATAGTTTAATTTTACAATTCTATTCATTTTATAAAACAAAATATGATTTGTTCTTATATTTATAGATGTCTGATGAAATTAATTTTTTATATGGATGACTTTTATTACGGAACATATAAGGTAAACGGTTCGGATCATCGATGCGAGTTTGAATTTAGACCCACAAGAAGAGTATGGAGAGATGCAAGTATTGAGAGAAGCTTATCCCAAAGAAGTCTCTTTCAAGCAATAGATAATCTCTCTGTATGGCCCTTAACCATCTTAGTTTATCTTGGAAGTCGGACCTGACACTGTTGATTGTTCTAGAGACAAGTTAAGAAATTGAGGGGTGGGAAACTGAGAAGGGTAAGGAAATTATCCAGTACTCGACAGCTTAAGAGTCTATGAGAATATTAAATCAAACTGATATAGGTGGAAAAAGAAAGTTAGGTGGGAAAAGATGGTTGGGTGCAGTAAACTTAACATTGTATGAGAATATCAAACTAAACTGATATGGGTGGAAAAAGATGGTTGGGTGCTGTAAACTTAAGGTTTATGGCTCAACTATGAAGATGTTATTCCCTTATTTTTGTAGTGTATATATGGGAAGTAAATATTTTTTACTTTCATGCTCCTTACACCTAAACTCTACGTTGCTCTAAACGACGTCGTATTACTTGAAAACATAACTCAGGTGAGCTACTTAACGAGTGTGGTGCCAGAAAACCCCTCCGATGGTCAACACCATTGGAAGAAGAAGGAATATATAGAGAGAGTAATCAGAAATTGTAGACCTTTTGTATGGAGGATTTGTGCGCCTTATATAGCTTACTGCCTTGCCTTCCAAGATTATGTGCGCACTACCTCGCTCGTCCTTTCTTGGATGCATGGATGCATTATCCTCTCTTTTCCATATACGTGTGCGCGTCAATACTGTCAAACAGCATTAGCTAAACCTCCAAACGATATTGACGCATACTATTGATGGGTTTTCCTCCTTACATTCCAATTGGACCACGTAGCATATGGCCGTCGAGTTATCCTCAACCGGGCTAACTCCAACAAGTCTAACCTAGACCGCTTCACGTCCAAGCTAACTTTGGCCAGTCTGCTTCCAGAGGGCTTTATTAGCCCAACTCGTTATATTCAACCCGATCAAGCTCTGTTTACTCGTTGCTTGGATGAACTCTGCATGGCCATTTACCTTGACTAAGATTCTCAGCTCGGTAAAGAGTCGCCCCTCATCACCCTAGCTTGGTCATTCTCCAATGCGTGGGCTTAGCTTGGCCGAGATTCGTCGCCTAGTCTATATTCGGCATGTGGGCTTAGCTCAGCCCATGGTCCAAGCTCATTTAGCTTGGCCAAACACCCATTTCATGCTAGCTCAGTTGCACAGTCAAAGGCTCATATGAGATTTAGGTCGACCTGTAACGCCGCGAAATAAACACAATATACTCGTCGCATAATAATCAATAAATAGCAACATAAATGAATTGATAAGCTTTCTTTAATCAGAGTTTGATATACAAAATATGACACATGCGATATACATTCATAAACAGTACATCTTGAATCTACAACATGTGTTACAAGATTGTGAAAAGAAATGAGAGCTAAACAGATAATCATACGCCCTAAAGACTTACATCTTTCCAAGTCAACGCTTGGATACATCAACAGTGAGTCTTAAGCTCAATACAGATGAAGCCCTAGGCTTGTACAAAATTAGATACAAAATAACAACACTGAGCCTTCAGCTCCATAGTTCTCCTAAGCTAAGTCCTTCATGGAGGCATATCACCTGCACCTGAAAATGGTTTTTTCCCTATCAGCCAAAGCCTAGTAGAAGCACTACAACACAATGTATAGATCTTAATGTTTATATCACAATTCTCAAAACCATGCCCTTTACAATAGAAAGAAGTGGGAAATCTCAAACCAGTACAACATTTAACGGATATTTCGTCCGCAGGAAATCGTCAAACCGCACCCATGTAAACATAGCCTACACAAGCGCTACTATTGCCATTTTGCAGATATTTCGTCCGTGGGAATCGACACCCATGTATACGCGCATTTTTCGGGACTTTCACCTTGGACACACAGGCAAACTTGATTTAGTGATAGACACATCTTTTCCACGTTCACCCATTTTTTCTCAAAATCATATACATTTTCGATATATTAGATGAACAACAATGTTCAATGCACAAGGACGAGGAATTAGTTTTAATTCACCTAATTCTCATGCAATTTCTACAACACTCATAGCTATCCTCCACTAATAGCCCAAAACAGATATCTCTGAACAGATAAGTAAATTTCATTAAAGATACACTTGTCCAAAATCACAAGATAGCAGTGACAATATATATCCAACTATGCCATCATCATCAACATTACTTCAATTATGTAATTCTCAACATCATTTCTGTTTTCTCTTTACAATCTCAAACATTCATGTTTTAGGGCAAAACCCTTTTTTCTTTGAAAATTAATTTCAATGTAGGAAATACCTCATTTCAACATGTATTAACTCCAATTTCATACCCACGAGCTTTTCCAAGAAAACGTTTGAAAACCCTTTTTTTTTTCATTTTGATTTCAAACCCTAGGTTTTACCAAAAAAATCCCAAACCACTATAATCTTTTGAAATAGCAAATAACTAAGATAAAACTTATACAAGAGTGTGAAGAATCCCTACCTCAAGCTTAGAAGACGAGAGAAAGAGTGAAGAGACTCCAATCACGTCGAAACCCAACTTTGTTCGGATCAAAACGAAGCTCGAGGTGAGCTCTACCTTTTTAACAAAGGGAGTAAGGTGAAGAAATCACTAGATCTTGGTGTATTTGAGTGAAATCAAAGAGTTTTAGAGACAGAGTGAGAGAAAATAGGGTTTTGGAATGTTTAGAGAGAGAGAAATAGATGAAAAAGTGACTCAGAAAAGTGACTTTACAAACTGATATACGCACAGGTCTCGTGAGCGCAAGATGTGTCGCTTGAGCGCAAGAAGCTTCACTCGAGTCCAGAATACAAAATCTCAGTAGTTTTGCAGACAGAGGTCGTCGGTCGAGCACAAGAAGTTTCACTCAAGCGAAGAATACAAACTCCCTGTATTTTTGCGAACCTGCAAAAGTACTGGAGTTTCACAAAGACCGCTTGAGTGCAAGAAGTGTCACTCGAGTGAAAGAACAAAAATCTAGGCAACACAAGTTTGAAAAACAAGCCACCAACCTGTTCCAAACGAAAACAACACAATCCAATAGCCAAATTCAAGGAGGAGTAGTGGGAAACAAGGAAAGAACAACTATATATAACAACGAAACACAAATCCAAAGCATCAAATAGGTTGGGTCTAAACCAGAATCGCTATAATATCCTCCACCGATAGCCTAAAATAAATATCTCTAAACATATAAGTAAATTTCATTAAAGATACACTTTTCCAAAATCTCAAGATGGGAGTGACAATACATGTCCAACTACGCCATCATCATCAATATTACTTCAATTTCATAATTCTCAACATCATTTCCATTTTCTCTTTACAATCTCAAACATTCATATTTTAGGGCAAAACCCCTTTCTCTTTGAAAATCAATTTCAATGTAAGAAATACCTCATTTCAACATGTATCAACTCCAATTTCATACCCACAAGCTTTTCCAAGAAACCAGTGACTCAGAAAAGTGACTTTACAAACTGA